TGGTTTTTTATCACAGTTGGAGGTGTCCAATTGTGGTTTTTTCCCACGTTAAATCGTGTGTGCTCTTTGTCTTAATTATTGATGAATTGTTAATGCGTTAAAAGTTGATAATCACAAATCAACATCTAGGGGATTTCTAGATTTTTCAATTGGTACAGAGCGAGGTCGTTCTATTTTTTTTAAAAAAATTCTTATAGAGACTGTATATCTGTGATTAGTGTGATAAATGTGAAGGAAATTCTAGTGTCTGACCACCCTCTACGAACCATATATTCTTTTTGGAAAGCTCGGATGAGATCTTTTTTAAAATCTATTGATGAAAAAGTTCTGGCTTTAGGACTCTGTCATGAAAGTTGGACTGAACCACACAATTACCGAGTTGATGGAGTTAATCCCCAAACCAATTGAGAATGGGACACAACTGATTACCAAAATAGTAGCTGGAATGTAAAAGCTACAATCTCTCCTTTTGCGCCTGTCACACCTGAGAATTTAAGTCGTATTTGTAATGTGTAAGTCGCAAAAAAGGCTTGGGATATCTTACAAACTATTCATGAGGGCACTCCTTCTGTGAAACGTTCAAAACTTCAAAGGCTCACATCTAGTTCTCGAAAATCTTCAATGAAAGATAGTGAGACCTTTGATGAATTTTATGCGAAGTTGAGTGACATTGTAAATTCCAGCTTCAATTTAGGTGAAAAAATTCCAGAATCCAAAGTTGTGGGAAAAATTTTGAGATCCTTGCCCCGATCGGTTCCAACCAAAAGTTACGGCTATTGAGGAGGCTCAAGATGTTGACAACTCAGCTGGATCAGTTGGTTGGAAACTCCAAACTTATGAGGCACACAGGAATTTCAAAACGAAACAAAAAGATATTGCTTTTTAGTAGTGCCCATAAAAGTTAGAGAGGATTCTGATGAGGATTGTGATATAGATTCAAGATTACGGCTGCTTTTGTTAAACAATTTAAAAGATCTTTTTTTGAAAAAGATCCTAATCTTTTGGAATCTACTCATTCTATAAATCAAAGGCAAAGAATAACTCAAAAATTAATTCATAAGCCAAGAAGGAGAAAGGAAAGATACAAGGAAACTCTGAAAGACTCCAATGCTATGAATGCCAAGGATTTGGCCATTTTACCTCAAGAATGCCCCACTCGGTTGCGGAAGAAGAAAGCCCTCGCCGTCACTTGGGATGATGAAATCAGAATCTGATAAAGATGAAAGTGACAATGAAGATCAAGGTAAAGAGGGTCATAAACAATTTCTTGCTTTCATGGCGGCTTCCGAAGCTGAAGGACAAACAGATTCTCCGAAGATGTCAGTTGAGAATATCACTGATGATGAATCCTCGGAGAGTGATCATGAAGAGCTTGAGCAAGCATATGAAAAGTTGTATAAGGAATCTCTTACTTATTCAAATTGAATGACAAACCCACAAAGAACCTTAAAGCATGTGAAAGTGAGAAATGTCAAACTTAAGGAGAGATTTCCAAAGCCAGGATTAATGCAATCAAGGTAGCTGATGATCGACAGTTCTTTGTGCAAAACTGTTGACTTGTGAGACAGAGAGGAATGAGCTGCTGCAAACCCATGTCATGTATGAAGAAAAGATTGAATCTCTGAGATTGCACAAGTTGCTTTGGAAGAACTAATGGTCAGAAGAGGAAGAGCTCAAGTGTGCTATGGCTACCATTGGTCTTTGAACAAAGGTTCAAAACTTTGGAGGATATCATTGGGTCTCAACACATGAGTTGTGACAAGAGTGGCATTGCTTTGGTGGTAAGAAAGAGCAAAAACATAATGCCTCCTCATCTTATGATACAAGAACTCAAGGAAAGGGAGGACAAAAAGATTCAACAAGAGGAAAGACTTCTCAAACTCCCTAGAGTTGGTAAGGTAAAAAGAAAAGAAGGTACACCCTGCTTTTATTTGTCATCATTGTGGTATGCATGGTCATATTCGCCCTTATTGTTATAAGTTGCATGGAAAGTGTCTCAAAAGGGTAGAAATTCGAATACTTTTTGGGTTAGGAGACAGCCTTACATGTCTAAGCGGAATACCAAGATTCATGAGGGTGTTAACAACACCGCGACATTTACCAAGACCGCTAGACCTAATTTTGTTAAGATCAAAAGATTTGGGTGAGAAAATATGACTTGTGTTAATTTGTTTGTTTGTTTTAGCTTTTTGGGTTTTTTGTGTCTTGTTTTTAATGAAAAAAAAAATGTGTGCTTGTTCATTTTTTTTGTCTTGCTTTATTTTTTTAAAAAAAAGGAAAAAAAAAAATTCCAAAAAGATTTTCTTAGTATGGTTTTGCAAGCTTGAAATTTTTGAGTGGTCTTGGTGCATATTGGAATTGATGAGAATATCCATTACATGTTAATATATGTGTGCTTTCTGTGGTCATTACTCGTTTGGGAGTGTGTGGTTTTTTGATTAGTATGTCTCATTCTGTACACACTCTTAGATTAGCAAATTTTGGAGTCTTCCACCTTAGTGATTATTTTTTTGGAACTTCTGGCATTGTATCTTTGCTTTTCTAGAGGAATTGACCTATACTAGCAATATCTTGGGTGATGTGTGATGTTCTCTAAACCACCTACCATCTTTTGGCACCTTCCATGCTTTTCCCCTTAATTCTTTGCACGTCTAGCCATGAGGAAAAGGCTACCTCAGAGTCACCAAACCAGGCCATCATTATTATATCCATGCTTCTCTGGTCGGTTTCCTAACTCTTGAGCGTGTCAGCCACCAGTGTATGTGTGCAAAAGAAAAAAAAAAAAAAAGAAAAGAAAAAATGTGAAAAAGAAAAGAAAAGAAAAAGTGTGTGAAAAAAAAGGAAAAGATTCATTGATTGAGGGGGAGCCTCCGCCTTTACTCACCAAATACCCCCTTGATTCCTAGTGGTTTGACTTTCCTTTGGTGTGCTTAAGATTCTCTTGTCGGAGGTCCGGCTTTCATATCACTACTAGGATTGAATCTATGGTTGTCGAACTCCAAGAGTCCACAACACACACTTTTATCATGGGATCTATGCTTTTCACATAATGCATCACTTTCTTTCATGAGGAAGTTTCTACAGACTGTCCACAATTGTGTTTTCTTGTAAGGTGGGCTTCTTGGATAATCTTATGTGTTAGAGTACTAATCTGAAAATTCCTTGCAGTTTGCTCCACCATATTATTTTTATCGTTTTCTTCTTGTTCACTGTTTTCAGTGTTTGTGGTTGCTTTTAGTGAGGGGGAGTTTGGTTCATCTTGATGTGGGTTGGTAATGGAGTTTGGTTTCTCATTACAAGAGTTGTTTAGCATGAACACTTTGATATGTTGGCTTTTGAGATTGGCTATTTGTTTTGCATGTTGCTATGCATTATTTGCCCTTCTTGTATGTTCGGGGTGTTTACATCGTCATATCATTGCTTGTGTGGTTTTTGATCTTGCTTTGGTTGTTTGAGAGTTGTTGTTCATGAGTTTTAATTTTCATCTATTCATGTTTTCCATCTCATGTTTCAAGATAATCTTGTCCTATGTTTATTGTTTTTTCATATATTCTTGTGGGACTAATAGTTGGTTTTGGAGATTGTGGCACTAATAACTGTTTTGCAGATCATGACCTTAAGAAAGAAGTTGGTTTTGTTGGCTGTAATGGGTTGGGGTGTTTAGGATTTTCTTTGTTAGGTGTGTTTTGTCACGGCATTGCCAAAGGGGGAGATTGTTAGGTTTTATTTCTTGGCAATCCCGTTTGACCCCGTTTGACAAAACTTTTCAGTTGTATTTATTTTCGCACTTTTATTTCAGTGAGGCTATGAGTGTTTAGATGCGAATCCAACCCGAATTGTGCATTTCAGAGAAGGTACTACCTATGTTGTCAAATCCGGAGACAAAACATTGTGTTGATTCAATTGTAATTTTTTGTGTTTTTGTTCTGTCTGCTCGAGTGGAGCCTTGTGAGCTCGAGCGTAGATTAGCAGGTCTCAGTATTTTGTCAGGGCAAGCAAAAAATACTAGTGGGTGTGATTTTACGCTCGAGTGGATTTTCCTACGCTCGAGCGCAGCTCAGTTTGTTCGCACGCAGTTTTTGGTCAGTCCGCTCGAACGGGCTGTGTTGAGCTCAAGCGGACCGCGCGATCCCAGATTTCCAGATTTGATTAAAGAGTTGGTTTTCTTCTGAAATTAGGATTGCTTTGGTTTTCTATAAATTGTTGGTTTGCTCCTAACACTAGAAAAACTTCTCCAGATCTTATTTTTGGATCTTAAGGTTTATATCTGGAGAGATTTTGCTAGTTTTCTTTGATGTTTTTATTGAGTATTCAACTCATGATCTAAAGAGAGTACATCAAATGTTTGTTTGTTATACACAAAAGAGAGAGTTATTCTTCAGTTGTGAATTCTGAAGAATTCGAGCCTGAAGCTTTGGTGGAATCCGGAGTGGCTCATCAGAAAGACAATTCCGTGGTGAAGATGGGGTTGGAAGAGGCACATAGAGGTTGATTCAATTAGGCGTTGTGGATTCGCTAGGTAATTGAGAGTATACCTGTGTAATTCCTTTAAATCTTCTTAGTGGATTGTTCTTGTGGCTGTTGCCCGTGGTTTTTTTATCACAGTTGGAGGTGTCCAATTGTGATTTTTTCCACGTTAAATCGTTGTGTCTCTTTGTCTTAATTGTTTGATTGTGATTGTTATATTCTGCTTAAAATTGATACATAATCACAAATCAACATCTAGGGGATTTCTAGATTTTTCAGTTTCTATTCCTTTTCCCTTTTTTTTTGTCTTTTTCTTTTTTCCTCTCTTTTTTTTTTTTATAAATCATCTATTGATAATAATAAATATTAGATAATATCGACAAATATATTGATGATATTACTCTTACGTTTTGTCAGAAACGGAGAAGCTCGATGACTAAAACGAAGTATTCTGGTGAAAACCCTAGCAAATGAGCTACCAGTTGGAACAATACGTTTTGGCTGTAAAATAATTGATGTCCAAATGGATCCATTAACTTTACTTCCAATTCTCCAGCTTCATGATGGCACTGTAATCAAAGCTAAGGTAATTTTATCTTACAAAAACATATGAAATTTGCATAGAAACAAATTCCAATGGATTAAAGAATACTCATGAGTGATGGTCTCGCCATAGAACCTATGGGATCATGCCCTTGTTAGTGTTTTGTACCTTTTTTTTAGTAGCCTCTAAAATTTGATCAATTAAGAAGCACATGATATAAATGTTATAGTCTTTCTCACGTCTAAGTATCTGTTTGGCTTAAAATATAATTTGATTAATTAAGAAACATATGATATAAATGTTGTTTTCTCACATTTAAAGCTCTATTTGGCTTAAAATGTCACACTTCTTGTAAAAAAAAAAAAATAGTCTTTAGTGAAATTTTTTAAAAATTGCATAATATATATATATATATATATATTTTAAAAAACCTTTTGGTCTAATCTAGAAGAATATAAGAAAACAAATTTTACTTTTTAGGTATTATAATCTAGTAGAATCTAAAAATGAAACGTGATTGAAAAATCTTGGAATTTTTTTTATTAAAGATGAAAAATAACCAACAAAAAACAGGTTAAAAAAAGAATTGTGCATTGACTTTATTTATAAGAGTTAACATGATTTAAATAGAAAAAGTTAAAAATTTACAGTACAAAGTTGAATGTCTCATTGAAAATTAAAACAAATTTTTTTTTTTTAGGTGCAAAAAAAATTAAAACAATCGAACAACTTAAGTATAAAGAATAATAATAATTTAAAGACTACGCTGAAAACTAAACCAAAGTTGAAAGATCATTTAATTGATTAAAATTACTTGATCTAATTTGGGATTGTAATTTGTGTATATATATCAATGGCAGGTAGTGATAGGATGTGATGGAGTAAACTCTGTGATTGCGAATTTCATTGGATTAAAACCTCCGAAGCAGTCAACAATAGGCGGAGCAAGGGGTTTCACAAATTACGAAAATGGACATGGATTTAGCCCTGAATTTGTTACCATCAACAAAGGCCATGTTTTGCTTGGAAGAGTCCCCCTTGATCACAACCTTGTATATTGGTTTGTTACCCGTCCAATCACACCTCAAGGTAATATCTTACTTGTTTTTTTGGATTATTTAAAATTATGAATCTGCTTCAAATTTAAATTATATGTGAATCTATAATACCGTTGAATCTCAACGACCTGTTTATTTTTTGGGTCATTTCTTGATACTTGTTTTTGGGTACTTAGACTTTCAAATTTAACATATGAACAAAAAAAAAAATCATAAATTAATTGATTCTTTGTACATGTCAACTTAGAGGCTATTTGAGAAGTTACTGTTTTAATTATTTTTTGTCTTATTGGCAAAAATATGAGTTGAGAATATATTTTTTTATTTTTTACGAAAAAAGTTTGAAAAGTAGAGTGAATGAAAAAAGATTTTTGAATTTTTTGTACTAGTTATTTTTTTTTTTTTGACTTTTTGAATTTTTTTTAACTTAATAACTAAAATATGTGATTACCAAATGACTCCTCAATTATGTATTAAAGTAAAAGTCAATATGTTTTTTTTCAAATCTTGAAGGGAGAATTACTGAAAAGTGGGACAAAAATAAAAATTACAAAAACATTGGAGGTGCACATGATTATATATGATGGGATGCAAGTGAAAAATTGTAGGGGTTTGCACCTCTCCATGTTTAGGGTTTTTTTTTTTTTTTGTTTGTTTGTTTGTCCAACTGAAAAGTAATTCCCTCAATCTTAAAAGTGTTCAAGAAATTTCAGATGACGCTTATTAATATTGAATCATTGTGAGTGTTTCACATTAAGTGATAAGCAAAATATGATAAATATAATATAACTATTAAACAATCCTTGTATTAAAAGAAGAAGAAGAAAGAACGAAAAAGATTATTAGAGATCTATTTTTTTTGGTTGTCCCAATACTTTTGTACATTTATGATATGTTAATTTAGAATTTCTATATTTGTGATTAAAATTTAGCTAGTGTATAGTTTACATATAAAAAGATTTTAAGCCACACATTTGTATTTTTGAAAAAAAATATGAGCTTGTAACATTACTGATATTGATGATATATATACATATTTATGCAGATTTAACAATGTCAAAAGATACAACAAAAATCATATCATCAACACTAGAATCAGTAAAGGGATTTCCAAGAGAAATGTTAGAGATGATACAGAACTGTGACGTAGATTCACTGACTTTTAATGGTACTCGATATCGAGCCCCATGGGAATTACTAAACGCAAGGTTTAGAAAAGGAACAGTGATGGTTGCTGGAGATGCCATGCACGTAATGGGCCCATTTCTCGGACAAGGAGGCTCAATTGCATTAGAAGATGCTATCGTTTTGGCTAGATGCTTAGCAACACAGAGGAGAGCAAAAATGGCACTTGATCAGTACATTGGAGAGCGAAGGATGAGATTGGTGCAGATTTCTACAAAAACATATGCTGTTGGGATGCTTCTAGAAACTTCGTCTGTGGTTCTGAAACTTCTATGCATCGTCTTGATGGTCATATTCTTTCGTGAGAGACTTGGTCATACCCGTTATGATTGTGGCCGCCTATAATTAAGTAGAAATTATTTAAGGTTCATTTGAGAAGAACTTTTTTAGCCTAAATTAGCTATGTTTGGGAAGAATTTTTTTAGCTTTTTTGTTTTTTTGTGAGAGAAGAAATGTAATAATTATGGTTTGAATGTGTCATTTTATCTTATTAATTTATTTAGCCTAATGTCTATTCAATGATATTTCATCATTTTGTCTGACGTTTTCTTGATTTTTAAGGTCCACGTATTCATTCAATTCCGTGCTATTGATTTAGCACATAGCCACATTTTTAGAAATCATCTTACACGTCAATCAATTATTATTATTATTTTTTTTTTTGTGCCATCACAACACTTGCAGCCCATAGTGAGTCTTCTCTCTCTCGTTTTAAAAAACTCTCTCTCTAAAAAACCTCCTTCTCGGGCCTCACCGCTGGCCAGTTGGTCGCCGTCGCCTTTGGCCATGGTGGTTGGCTAGCCTAGCTTCTCTTCTTGTGTTTGATGCTCTTTTCTTCTAATAATCTTGAGCCTCCATTTGTTTACCGTTTTTCTCCTTTTCAGATCTAATCTCTAGATTTGATTAGGATGTTGTTGTTTAGGAAGTTTGTTTTTCACAGTGTTGATAGGTGGTTTTGGTGGGTTCTTTCTTCGAATGAAGAGGTTTGGTGGTAGTGGTGTTTCGGCCATGGGTTCCGGTGTAGAGTGGTTGCGTTGACCATGGGTGGGTTGGTTCTGGAACTTCATTCGGGCATTTCTCTGCGAGCGGAAGTTTGAGGGGTGGAGGATCCAGAGTTTAGGATCTTCATTCGAGCGCTCCGTGTGTGTGGGAGTTTAAGGGGTGATTTCCGTTTCAACTCTATGGTGGTCGGAGTTTGTGGTCGGGAAAGAGGGGAATGGAGCCGGGTCTACAAAGAGGATCAACCGAGGGAGGTGTTTGGGAGAGGAAAACCATGGGAGAAGTGGAAAACTAGGTTTTCAAGGCTGAAGAAGAACCACAGGAGGCAGTAACAGTAAAAAATGAGGCACCTGTAGCAGTCCCGGAGTTGCAACAGCAAGGATGTGGTGTAGCAACAGGTGGGCATGAGTATGAAGATAGCAGTGGGTCCTTGGGTGTGGGTTTTGGAAGTTGCAGCAGCATAAGCGTGGTGTAGCAGCAGGTGGGCATGAGTGTGGAGATAGCAGTGGGTCCTTGGGTGTGATCGGATGCATTGACTGCCCGGAGTTTGAATAAAAAAGGATGGGTGGTCGGTGGTTGTGTACAGATGGGTGGTTGGTCGGTGGCTGTGTTCAGATGGGTGGAGTGTGACCTTGGGTGCGTTCAGTAGGTGTAGCCTTGGTTGTGTTCAGGCCAGGCGTGGGACTCAAGAGTGTTGCAGTGGTTGAGTTTGAAGTGAGGGGCTCTTGAGTGTTACAGTGTTTGAGGGGTGTACCTAGGGAGTGTTTCAGAGTTTTTTTCTTTTTCTCTTGTTTAGGTGGGGGCTCAAGAATATGATTTATTTTATTTTATTGTTGCATTTTAAAATATAAAATCGTGAGGCTAAGGGGTTGGTTGTAAGATCGCGAGTAGCAGTAGTAGGAGAGTGAGGTTTACTCTTCGAATCTCTCTCATTACGTTTTATTTCCTTGTACCTATAAATTTCATGTTTTTAATGGAATTTTTCTTTGCCGATCAAAAAAAAAAAATCAATTATTTTTTTTCTTATAATCATTTATTCAACTACAAAAAAATTCACAAATCATTCCAAACATAATTTTTTTTCATCTCATAAAATAGTAAAAAAGCTAACTAAAATAACTAACTTCCTAAACAAGGCTTACTTATTAAAGATATGGGGTGTCAAGCCCTCTCTCATTTTGATTTTTTCAGTTTCGATTATGAAATCTTAATTCATCTAAGAAAAAATAATTCAGTTTAGAAAATTTATGAGATTTATTTTGACTTGGCCTCGTTGGGAAAGTAATAGTTTTAGTTTAAAAGTCAAAAAATTACTAAAAAAAATCAAAAAAGTTTATAATTTATACCAAAATATTAAAAATTTCATTTTCTCTCTACTTTTTACACATCTTTTCGTAAAAAATCAAAAAATCATTCTAAACATATAAGTTTTTTTACCTCATATTTTAGTTAAAAAATTAAAAAATTACTAAATAACCTATTCCCAAACAAAGCCTTATTAATTGAAGGTGATAGAGTTTTCCAATGTTTAGAAACCCTACATGTCAATGTCACGGGTATTATCAACTGTCTCCACTGTTGTAATTTCGCAGGCTAGTTTAAGATGATTTAAATAAGTGTATTTTTTTATTTTTTACGAAAAAATGTAAAATATGGGTTGGGTTTGAAATAATGGTGGTGTTTGGTGTAGCTGTTAAAACAGATTATAGATTATAGCTTAACAGATTATAGATTATGACTTTAATCAGAAGCGGTTAATCTGTTTGGTATAGCTGTTGGACTATAGATTTAAGTTGCTGAGTAGTGTTTGTTAAATAAGCTGTGAAGTAGCTTTTTCAATTAATTTTTATTTTTTATTATTCACTATTTGTCTACATTTTTCATAAAAAATAATAATAATATTTAATAGTCCATTTAAGTCTTTTTCTATTTTTAAAAAAATAAAAAATAAAAAAATCTAAGAGTATAACGGTGAATTAACATGTCCACAGCAGAAGCTGATAATCAGAAGCAAGGGGTGAGCAGCTTCTCAGAATCAGCTTTTTTGACTTAAAATAAGTTGTTAGAATCAGAAGCTGTTTGAAATAAGTTTAACCAAACAGTCCAAAATAACTTTTTAAAAGCCAGAAGTCATAAGTTGGCTTAAAAAAGCTGCACCAAACACCCCCAATGTGGTAGAGAGGTGATATGACTTAAATAAGACGATGTAACTTAAATAAAATAGTGACTTTTTGACTTTTTAACTTTTTTAGATTATGCCAAACCAAGCCTGTCAAAGTCCTTCGTTTCAAATATGCTAAGCTTCTTTGTTTTTTTGTGTTTTTTTTTTAAATTTTTTTAGTGAATTTTTTAAATATTTTTTTTCACAAATTATTTTTAGGGGAAATTATTGGAAACTCCCATTTTGGAGAGTTGTAGTCTACCAAGTCCCATTTTAAAATTAATAAACGTCCAAGTCCTATTTTTTTGGTAATGTGATCCGAAAGATCCCATTATGTAATTATGGAATGGTTTTTCTGACTAATGTACCCTTTTTTTCGTGGTTGAAACGTGTGAGTCATAAATAACATGGATACCCCTACATACACTACTAAACCCAAAAAAAGTTATAGTAAGCTTTTCCCAAACATTACATACACCCACATCACAGAAAAGCTATAGTAAGCTTTTTCCAAACGTTACATACACCTACATCATAAATGTGTTTTTTCCAAACGTTACATATACCCACATCATAAAAAAGCTATAGTAAGCTTTTCCCAAACGTTACATACACCCACATTACATACACCCACATCATAAATGTTTTTCCAAACGTTACATACAACCACATCATAAAAAAGTTATAGTAAGCTTTTCCCAAACATTATATACACCCACATCATAAATGTCCCTTTTTTTTGTGGTTGAAACGTGTGGGTCATAAATAACGTGGACACCCCTACATATACTACTAAACCCAAAAAAAAACTATAGTAAGCTTTTCCCAAACGTTACATACACCCACATCATAAATGTGCTTTTCCCAAACGCTACATACACCCACATCATAAAAAAGCTATAGTAAGCTTTTCCCAAATGTTACCTACAACCACATCATAAATGTTTTTCCAAACGTTACAAACACCCACATCATAAAAAAGCTATAGTAAGCTTTTTCCAAACGTTACATACACCCACATCATAAAAAACCTACAGTAAGCTTTTCCTAAACGTTACATACACCCACATCATTCAAACATAATATCACCAAACCCAAAACAGTAAGTTCATGGACAAAACTGTCCACCCCCAAATAATGGGACCTTTGGGTGTACAAAATTAAATATGAGACTGATTAGATTACAATCCCACATTTTAGGATTTATGGATCAATTCCTCTTATTTTTATATGCATATGAATTAAATGTATCTAAAAAGTGTCTATCTAAAAAAAGAATAATGTTTGGGACCCCCTTTTGGGGGTCACCCCCTCACCCTCCTTTGCCACGTGGTAGGTGGTGATTGGAGGAGCAGGAAAAAAAAAAAAAAAGAAAATGAAAATGTAACCAATGAGAGAGAGAGGGGGTCAAAGGGGGTGGGGGGAAAAGGGGGGATGAATCATTGTTGCTAAAAAAAATGTATCTAAAAAGTTAAAAAATAAACAGATAACTAAAATATTAAAAATAAAAATCACTAAAAATAAAATATATGAAAATCAAAAGACTCAAAACAATTTTTGAATTTGAAAACCAAACAAGACATAAACATATAAATCAATATAGATTGATACTTTTTTCAAAAATGGACCCTACTACCAAACTTTGTAAAATATTTTATATTCACAAGAATTTAGTATTGGATTTTTGTATATATAACAAAATTGGTAAAAAGAGAAAGTATAACGAGCAATGATAGGACCCAATACTTCTACCAATTTTTTTTATCAAACACAAGTTTGGGGGGTCTTTACTATGGCCGCATGAACCGAGCTGTTCATAAACAAACTCGGCTCGGCTTAGCTCGGCTCGTTTATCTATATTTAAATTATATAATAAATATATTATTTATATGTAAAATAACATAAATATATATAAATATATATAAATAATTGTATAAATACATTATTTATATATTAAATAATATAAATAATATTTTTTATTTAAATAATATAAATAATATTTTAAAAAAATTATCGAGCCGAGCCGAACTCCAGTTTTATTAATATTAACGAGCCGAGTCGAGCCGAGCAGAGCTCGAGCCTAGTTCCTTATCGAGCCGAACTCGAGCTCAATAAACGAGCTCGATAAGTAAACGAGCCGAGTTCGAGCTCAGCAAAACTCGGCTCGGCTCGGTTCATTTGCAGCCCTAGTCTTTACCATTTTTAATAAAAGATTGTAGACTTTGATCTCCATTATATGTCAAATAGTTCTAAAATAAGAACATAAATTTATAATTTTTTAAAATTTTTTTAAAAAAATCATTAATACCTACTCATTAAGTTATGTATTATTTAATAAAGACTTGTTACCGAAGCCGACCTTAGCTCAGTTGGTAGAGCGGAGGACTGTAGTCGGTTGCCCGCAGCTAATCCTTAGGTCGCTGGTTCGAATCCGGCAGGTCGGAATTTTATTATGTTTTTTCTTTTTCAGATTTAATTCTTTTTTTCTTAATAAAAGGTAGTTAATTGCGACAGAGAGAGCATGTTAGCGAACTTTTTCTTAGCGTGCACTCGAGCACAAAACGCACCTGAAACTGAAGCGAAGATCGGTTGCACCGCACAGTTCTTGGTCACCAGGTCTCATCAGATCGATCCATTTCTGTGTTGACTCTCTCTCAATCGATGGTAAATACTACTAATCTACGCTTTTTTATTTGTTTGAATTGCGTTTGGGTGCTGAGAAAATTTTAGGTGATGAAACTGAGCAATTTCTTAATTTAAGCAGACTAAACCTTTTTTTTAAAAGTAAGCATAATAGCTTTACGAGGCTTGGATGATCACAATATGTTATTTGCCCAATTGAACCCAGTCTTATTTCAACTTTTTGCAAGGTTAGGTTTCCATATTTACCAGTGAGTAATTTGATTCTAAACATTTTTCAGTCGAACACATTGCGATTGTATTTGACCTGTATTCGGAACACTCTTGAGGCTGCCATGTGTTTACAGGTAAGTATTTTTATGCCAAAATGGAAAGTCAGTTCGTGGTCATTATTGATAAAACTACGGGATATGTTACGTTAAGTTCACGGATCATTGCAGCATTTCAGGCTAAATAATTGTTGTTTACGGAAGAAATGCAGAACATCTGGGCATCTGAATTGCCTGTTTTCCTAATTGAAGCAGTCGAAATCTGGTTCTGTTAGTAAAATTGAGAAATTTTCAATAGAAAACACACATTTTTTACATCCAAGACAGAAAATTAGACATACCAACCCCGCTTGCACACTGGTGTTCCATTTCAAGTTTCTGCCATTTCATTTTTCACAATTGTGTTACGAATGTCATAACTTGTTATCCATATGGTGCTTGCAGAACTTCCCTTGTCAAGAAGTTGAAAGGCATAACAAACCAGAGGTTGAACTAAAGTATGCTTACATATTGCTGTTTGATCTTTGGTTACCTCTTTTTTATTTATTATTTATTTTATTGGTACAGTTATTATAAAATTACAATTCTTTTTTATTTTTTTTTTTTATTTTTTATCTTTAATAAGTAACACTTGCAGTGAAAGAAAAATTTCTGAAAATTTGTACATAATTTCTCAAGTTCTTAGATTGTTTACCAAAATAATGTCCTATTTTCCTTGTAGGATCTGATAGATTTTAAAATAGAGTCCGTGATTTGGATTATCTAGGTGTCTAATGTAATTTTGCCTACAGTTTCTTTAACCTTATTATTGTATTGTTTAGGGACCATAAATGATTTCAGTTTTCTGAAATCATTTTATGGTTTTATTAGATTCACAGCCTTGTATTAACTCAGCTTCTAAAATAATAATAGACTGAGGAACTTTACTCCACTGATGCTTCAAAATTTCATCATTCAAACTTGAAACTGAGTCGTATGAAACACTCTGAATCTTCATGAAAAACCTTGACTATGCATAGAAACTATGAACTCTTCATCCAAAAGTGCTAAGGGTTAAAAAGCAATTTGTATCTAGGGAGTGATATTCCCAAGAGTTATGTGCTTCGCCATCTTAATTACCATTGTCAATATTCACTTAAAAAAAATTACTGCATATACGTGCGGTTATGATTATCTATTCACTAATAGGGGGAAGAGGAGGCACTCTATCACTTGAGGGCCTCAACCAAGCTTCTCTTGGGTGTTTATTGAGTGCAACTAGACCAAACAAGTCTTAGCTATTTAATTTGTTTTACATTAATGTTTTTTGGTTGTCGTTAGTGTCCCTGATGACATTGGTTCGAGTCATGGAACAACCTCTCCAGATATGAGGGTAAGGTCGCATATATCTTGACCACCCCAGCCTCTGCCTTGGTGTGAGCCTTGTGCACTAGGTCACCTTTTTCTATTTATGTTTTTTGGTTGGGCAAAAACAGATTTAGATTGTTCTATATAAGGAAATGGAAACAATAACTGATTTTAAATGTCTTGCCTAATGTAAGAGCCATGTCAACATGAAAACGGCGGTGCAGGGTATCCACTTTTTTGAGGAGCCTGTTTTCTTCGTTATTGTATAGATCATTAAGTAAATGAATAAATTCTTATACATTAGGAAGGATTGAATATTTTTCTGTTTATTTTTCAGGACCAGTCCAGAACTGCTGCTAAACCCAGTAAGCACCAGCTTTTGATAAGTCCAGAACTGCTGCTCAAACTTTGATTTTCCTTATTCTCCTCTTGTGACTGATTACATTTGGACCAAAAAGGAAGTAAACCGCTGAAATTCAGACTGGTTGTTGCCTGAAGTTGTAGAGTTGAACTTCCAATTTATCTTGTACTTGTTGCTTGAATGACAATACAACACACGGTGAAGAGGAAACCCTAAAGGAAAGGGGGGAGGAGGGGGGGGGGGGTTTGTTTAATTGTTTGTAATGCACTCCAGCCCCAACTCTTAACTTCCTTTATTTCAGTACCTCTTGCAATTCGAAGTTTATATAGCTGAAACCTATCTATCCTTGGTGGCTCTTCATTATATTTAATTCAATATGGTTTTCAACAATTTGATTGCTGTCCATGGACCTAATCCAGATTTTGGCACTTCCTCTGTCAGGTTTTAATATGTCGAAATGAGGCTGAAAAATGCTTAATTGAAACGTCTATAAATTCATTGCGCATAAGCCTCAAGGTGAGATAAAGTAATTTACATTTGGATACATTCTTGAGTTCTTTCCGTTGGTTATGGATGAAATAGCACATGATGCCATGTCATTTTCATATAATTGATATGTCATGGTGAGTATATTTAAGTTTTTATAATCGAACAGATAGTTGATATGTTAAATACTTGAACTTATATTTGAGGTTATGATGCACTTGTTCTGCACACTTAAGCTCAAACCTCAAATATATGTTCATATCCATTTGTTGCTCAACAAGTGCATCACAACTTGGTTGAAGATTGCCTCCTCAGCATATAATTTAGATAGAACATAGCACTTGGAGGGCTTTGTTGATTGCATCAAGATGTTCAGCATCATCTTCTTTGCTTTTATTTCTTTTTTCCTTTTATCCTTCTGATTGTATACACTAGAAATAACCATCATTTCTCAGATTTATCACCTTATATGCGTGTTTTTTTCTTGTTGTATAGGTAAAGCAAGCAGATGAACTAGAAAACATACTAACTAAAAAATTTCTTAGATTTTTGTCAATGCGGGCAGAAGCATTTCAAGTATTGAGGAGAAAGCCAGTACAGGTATGTATTGTCTCATCTCATTTAATTGTTTTTGCACATTGCTATGCAAAATTCATGATGCATGACAGAAAACACAGTGCTAATTGATTGGCAATAATTTGCTTCAAGATGAAATTTTACTTAGTCACGGAAAGATTGCGCAACCCTAAGAACAAATTCAAAAACAATATATATATATATATATATAGAGAGAGAGAGAGAGAGAGAGTGAGAATCTGTTCATCACCACTCGCGATGGTCCGTCTACAATCATGCAATGGTACGATTGCGATGCTTCGATCGTGGTGGTTCGATTGTGGTGGTGGTGGGGTACTACCAAAGGAGGAATGACATGTTGGCGGGGATGGCTTATAGCAGCGTCGTGCGACGGTGGCGTGGAGAGTGAAATTGAGGAGAGAGAAGATAAGAAGGAGTTCAATCGTAAATTGACACAGTTTCTCGGGTTGACTTGTGTTAGAGCATTACCCATCTTTTACCAAATTTTTATCAAATTTAAATTTGATAAATTTTTTAATGAAAATGTGATCTAATCCTTTTAGTATCAAATTTGTATTAAATTAAGAGAGAAATAGTTTTTTCATCAAATTAAGGATAAATCAAATCTTTTACTAAATTTTTAACAAGTATTTTTTTACTTAAGTTTGATGACATTGTTGAAAGATAAAAGATAGGAATTGAGTTTTTTTTTTTTTTATTTTTTATTTATTTTTTTTTTTTATCAAAATTGATGAAAAATGAAATTTGGAATGAGAAGTAATTTTTTTATAAGATTTTGATAAAATTTGATGACAGGGTTAGAGTAATTGATAACAAATCAAACTTTTTACTTAAATTTATAATCAAATTAAATGAAAAATTTGGTGAATGATTGGAGAGTGTCTTAATGTTATTTTTGTCATTTTATCTTTTCTATTAGTGGTATTAACTTTTGAGACCCATCCAATGGGACTCGTGTAATTTAGACAATTTTTAAGGATGGTATGTGTAATTTGCCAATTAACATGGGGCAAATTACAAACACCCCCTTGAGATTTGGTAAAAATACAGATTCTCCCCTGAAGTTTGAGAAATTACAAATTGCTCCCTGAGGGTCAAATTTTCATAACAAATTAGGGGAAATTAGGGGGGAATCTATATGAAAATAAAAACCTCAAGGGGCAATTTGTTATGAAAATATAAACCTCAGGGGGTGGGATGTAATTTTTCAAACCTTAGGGGGGAATCTGTATTTTCACCAAACCTCGAAGGGGTGTTTGTAATTTACCCTAAATATTAATATAGTTTATAATAATTTATAAAACATAACTTGTATAAAATAAATATGGTAAGTCAAAACATAAGTAAAATATATTTTGGTACCTCAAGTTATAATATAACTCAACTTAACTTTAATACCTCACTATTTCTTTCCACTATCAAAAAACCTTCTCAGCTTCCATTATTTTTTTTTCCTTTTTTTTCCTCTCTTTCTTTTATTAATCATATATTGATATCAATGACTATTAGATAATATCGACAAATATATTGATGAATATTATTCTTACATTTTGTCAGGAATGGAGAAGCTCGATGCCTAAAACGAAGTATTCTAGTGGAAACCCTAGCAAACGAGCTACCAGTTGGAACAATACGTTTCGGGTGTCAAATAATTGATGTCCAAATGGATCCATCAACTTCACTTCCAATTCTTCAACTTCATGATGGCACTGTAATCAAAGCTAAGGTAATTTTGTCTTACTTACATAAGAAATTTGCATAGAAACGAATTCCAATAGATTAAAGAATACTCATGAGTGATGGTCTCGCCATAGAACCTATGGGATTATGCCTTTGTTAGTGTTTTGTACCTTTTTTTAGTAGATTCTAAAATTTGATCAATTAAGAAGCACATGATATAAATGTTATAATTTTTCTCACATCTCAGACTGTTCGGCTTAAAATGTAATTTGATTAATTAAGAAGCATATAATATATATGTTATAGTTTTCTCACATCTAAGACTTTATTTGGCTTAAAATGTCACACTTCTTATAAAAAAAATCGTCTTTCGTGAAATTTTTTAAAAAATTGTTTACCTTTTTTTTTTTTTAAAAAAAAAGAAAAAAAAAAATCTAATCTAGAAGAATATAAGGAAAAAAAAAACTTTTTAGGTAATTATAATCTAGGAGACTCTGAAAGTGAAAAGTGTTTGGAAAAATTTTGGATTTATTTTTTTTTATATTAAAGATGAAAAATAACCCAAAAAAAACCGGTTAAAAAAAAAATTGTACATGGACTTTATTTATGAGAGTTAATACGATTTAAATGGAGAAAATTTAAAATTTACAATAGAAAGTTGAATGTCACATTGAAAATTAAAACAATCGAACAACTTAAGTATAAAAAATAATAATAATTTGAAGACTACACTGAAACTAAACCAAAGTTGAAAGATCAGTTAATTGATTAAAATTACTTGGTCTAATTTGGGAATGTAATTTGTGTATATATATATATACATCAATGGCAGGTAGTGATAGGATGTGATGGAGTAAACTCTGTGATTGCGAATTTCATTGGATTAAAACCTCCGAATCAGTCAACAATGGGCGGAGTGAGGGGTTTCACAAATTACGAAAATGGACATGGATTTAGCCCTGAATTTCTTACCATCAACAAAGGCCATGTTGTGCTTGGAAGATTCCCCCTTGATCACAACGTTGTATATTGGTTTGTTGCCTGTCCAATCACACCTCAAGGTAATATCTTACTTGTTTATTGGATTATTTAAAATTATGAATGTGCAGTTCAAATTTAAATTATTTATGAATCTATAGTATATTGACCGGTTTATTTTTTGGGCCATTTTCTTGATTCCTCATTTTCTCACATCTAGACTTTCAAATTTAACATATGAACAAAAGAAAAATCATAAATTAATTGATTCTTTGTACATTTCAACTTAGAGGCTATTTGAGAAGTTACTTTTTAATTATTTTTTGTCTTATTGGCGAAAATATGAGTTGAGAATATTTTTTATTTTTTACGAAAAAATATGCGACAAGTAGACTGAATGAGAAAAGATTTTTTGAATTTTTTGTATGAGTTAATTTTTTTTTTTTTTTTGAGTTTTTGACTTTTTTATTCTTAGTAACTAAAATATGAGATTACCAAATGACTCCTCAATTATGTATTGAAGTAAAAGTCAATATGTTTTTTTCAAATCTTGAAGGGAGAATTACTTGAAAGTGGGACACAAAAAACATTACAAAAACATTGGAAGTGCACATGATTATATGATGGGATACAAGTGAAAAATTATAGGGGTTTGCACCTCTCCATGTTTAGGTTTTTTTTGTTTGTTTGTCCAATTGGAAAGTAATTCCGCCAATCTTAAAGTGTTCAAGAAATTTCAGGTGAATCTCATTAATATTGAATCATTGTGAGTATTTCACATTGTATATTAAAAAAAAAAAAAGAATAAGAAGAAGAAAGAAAAAGATTATTAGAGATCTATTTTTTTTTGGTTGTCCCAATACTTTTGTACATTTATGATATGTTAATCTACAATTTCTATATTTGTGATTAAAATTTAGCTAGTGTATAGTTTACTTATAAAAAGAAATTAAGCCACACATTTGTAATTTTGAAAAAAATTATGAGTTTATAACATTACTGATATTGATGATATATGTATGCAGATTTAACAATGTCAAAAGATAAAACAAAAATCATATCGTTAGCACTAGAATCAGTAAAGGGATTTCCAAGAGAAATGTTAGAGATGATACAGATTTGTGACGTAGATTCACTAAATTTTAATGGTACTCGATATCGAGCCCCGTGGGAATTACTAAACGCAAGGTTTAGAAGAGGAACAGTGACGGTTGCTGGACATGCCATGCACGTAATGGGCCCATTTCTCGGACAAGGAGGCTTAATTGCATTGGAAGATGCTATTGTTTTGGCTAGATGCTTAGCAACACAGAGGAGAGTAGAAGTGGCACTCGATCAGTACATTGGGGAGCGAAGGATGAGATTGGTGCAAATTTCTATGAAAACATATGCTGTTGGGACGCTTCTAGAAACTTCGTCTGTGGTTGTGAAACTTCTATGCATCGTCTTGATGGTCATCTTTTTTCGTGAGAGACTTGGTCATACCCGTTATGATTATGGCCGCCTATAATTAAGCAGAAATTATTTAGGGTTCATTTTGGAAGAATTTTTTTAATCTAGCTTTTTGACTTTTTGGCTAATTAGCCTAATGTAGACGTCCCGAACGCTCCCGGGAGGAACGAGCTCCCGTTCCGTTCATTTTGGGGTCACTACAGCTCGGGACTCTCAAATTGTCATGGTTCTAAGTCTGAACCAAAGAGTCCAAATCTGGCAAATCGTTTTGAGAAACAGATTTTGAAAAGAAGTGCCAAACATGGACTGCTTTGCCAGATACAGAGTCGCCACCTAAATATTTTTTAATGGGAAATTTAGGAAACCCTGACTCGGTGCCAAAGGCCACGTGTCCGTCATCACCAAAGTTGCCTCGGCTCGGGAACTTGGGTACGATTGGGGAAGGTCACTTCGTGAGCACCCCCGCTCGCCCGGTCAGAGACCGGCCTCTACTAACCATGATATCTATTTTTGAAAACATTGTATGTTCTTATTCCGGTTATTAGCCTAGGTTACTATGTGATGCACGCAGCATATAAGTATAGACCGGGTCGTCGGAATTGGAAGAAAACATTTCATGTTTTGTTTTTGAAAGATGGTTTGCTACTCGCAAGTAGGCTTAAAATGCAGATTTTGCCACCCGCAGGTGGGCTTTAGAAAAGATGGTTTTGCCACTATCTGGTGGGCTTAAAAACTCACAGTCAATGATTTGTTCCAATCCAAGTAACCTAACCTTCACCCACAGGCATTCAGGTAGTTATATCACATTAGCAATTAGCCTCATGGTAAGCATGTTATTCATGGAAGTCACTCACACGCATGCAAAGGATGCTAAAGCATAAAACTTACCGAGT